TGTGGCAACGCCTTGGCGGGCGACAAGATCCTATTCCACTCTACTCGTCACGCGGCAACACGGGGGTTCAGAGCAACCTTATTCCAGTCTATTCGCCACGTGGCACCGCCTGGCGGGGGCGAAACAATAATACTTTTCCACTACATTCGCCGCCAGACAACGCCTGGCGGGGGCCGAAAGGAAAACACCCACTCCACTTGCCACGTGGCAACGCCTGGAGGCGCGAAGAAAGAGTACTCCATCCACTCTACTCGCCACGCGGAAGCGCCCCGGGGGCCCAAACAGCTGTTCCACTCGAATTGTCATGTGGCAGCGGCGCGAGGGCCGAATCTAATATTATGCCATTCGTTTCGCCACGCGGCAACACCTGTAGGCGCGAAGACATCGTATTTCACTCTAGGCGTCACGTGGCAGCGGGGCCGACAGAAAACGTTCAGCCACGAGGACGACGACGATAACGACGCCGACGATGATGACGACGACGATGACGAGGGCCATGGAGGCGAACACGGACACACTCTTCTATCCTTCTCGTCATTCTTCCTCCCCCTTTCCTCCTTCTTCCCTCCCTTCTCCGTCCTTCCTCCCTCTTCCTTCCTCCCCCTCCTGCCCTCCTCCCCCCTCCTCCCTCCTGACTCTTCTTTCCTCTCCTCCTCTCTACCTTCATCCCTTCTTCTCCCTCCTGTCCCCCCTAGCCCGCAATTTACTGCAATGCCATGTGCTTCAAATGCAATGCAAATGCAGCGCAGTCCAACACAATGCACCGCAGCAGGATCGGTGGTTGGCAGGTTGGTTGGCTGGTGGCTGGTCGGCCGGTACGTTGGTTGGTAAGTTGGCTGGTTGGCTGTCACGTGGCAACGCTTGGGCGGGCGAGAGAATACTATTCCACTCTACTCGTCAAGTGGCAGCGCCGCGGTTGCCAGAGCACATACTGCTCCACTCGATTCGCCATGTCGCAACGCCTGGCGGGGACCAAACACACACTGTTGCTTGATTCGTCGCGTGGCAGCGCCGCGGGAGCACGTGGCAATGCCTGCGGGGCATCGTTGCGGTGGCCGGCAAACACTCGATGCCACCATGGCGTTCCCATCGCCGCGTGGAGACGCCTGGAGGCGCAAAGAGCAAGTCTTCCGTTGTAGCCGTCACGCTGCAGCGCCGCGGGGGCCGAACAGAAACATTCTGCCACGACGACGGCGAGGACGACCACGAGAACGACGACGACGATGACGACGATGACGAGGGCCAGGGAGGCGAACAGCAGTTCTATCCTATCCTCCTCGTTCTTCTTCCCACCCCTTGTTCTATCCCTCCTGCATCCTCTCTCCCCCCTCCTTCCTCCCCGGTCCTCCCTCCTTCCCTTCCCCTCCTCCCCCCTCCTCCCTCCTCACTCCTCCTCCGTCCTCCCCTCCTCTCTACCTCCCTTCTTCTCCCTCTTAACCTCCTCCCCCTCGCCCGCAATTGTGTTGCAAATACACTGTACGGCAACGCAACAGGATACAATCCAATGCAATGCATTGCCATCCAATGCAATGCCACGCAACGCAATGCAATGCAACGCATCACGTGGCAGCGCCGTGGGGGCAGAACAACAGAACCTTGCCACGACGCCGACGATGACAAGGGCCAAGGAGGCGAACTCCTCGTCCTTCTCCCTCCCTCCTCCATCCTCTTCCCTCCTCCATCCTCTCTCCTCCCTCCCCTCTCCTCCCTCCTCCCCTTCCCCTCCTCCACCCTCTCCCTCCTATCTCGCCCGGAGTTGTCTGCAATGCAATAGATTGCAAACGCAGTGCCAATGCAACACAGTGCAACGCAATGAAACGAAACAGGATGCAATGCAATGCAATGCAATGCAATGTGATGCAACGCAATGCAATGCAAGGCAATGAAATGCAAATGCATTGTCATACAATGCAATGCCATGCCATGCAGTGCCATGCAATGCAATGCAACGCAATTCAACGCAATTCAGTGCGCCCGCCCGCACGTCTGCACGCGCGCCCGCTCGCCCGCCCGCCCGCTCGCGCCCCTCCGCGCGCGCCTCCAGGCCATCCCACTCCATTCCACGCCGTTCCGTTCCATCCGCTCCTCCCTCCCATTCCAGTCCGTCCATTCCGCTCCATGCCGATACTTTCCTCCATTCCTCGGCCCCGCGTTCATGGTAGACCATGCCATGTATTCTGCGCCCCGCGGTGTGGGACATCCCCTATGCACCGGCAAGGGCTGGTTGGCTGGTTGGTTGGCTGGCGAGTTGGCTCTTGACGAGTGGGCTGGCGTCCAGAGGCCAATTTTGGCACACCCTTCACACGGATCGCGCGTAGCGGGCTGGAATGTTTTTGTTGGGCCAGGGAGATGTTTTGTTGACCCGACTTATGAAACAAAAACACATGTTTTTACCCGCGACCAGTTTATCCTGGTTTTCATCCGCTTCGTGGCCCGTTCGTCGGGTCGTGTATTAGCTTTTAGGTGTTCTTGCGAAGATTTTCCAGACGTTGATTCTCAGGTGTTGGAGGGGGTGTCCGCGTGGTTTGGGTGAGGTCTTCTCTGGGGTACGCCCCGTCGAGGTTGCTTCCCCTTGCCGTCTGGCACTATCTGCAGACTCCTAGGAATGCTGCGAAACAAGACGCCGCCGAGCAACGAGGAGGATGAGAAGGAGGAGGTGGAGGAGCAGAAGGGTAAGAGTGGAAGAGAGGAGGAGCGCGTGGAAGAGACGTTGGAGAGGAGGAGGAGGAGGAGGAGGAGGAGGAGGAGGAGGAGGAGGAGGAGTTGGAGTTGAAATTGGAGGAGGGGGAGGAGGAGGAGGAAGGATAGGATGAGCAGGAGGATGCGGACGGGGGTGGAGGCCTGCGGCCGGCCTCGGTCCCCCGCTCCTCGTTTTGCTCGGGGGCTGGCCCGAGGCCCTCGGTTGGACTGGGTGAGGCTCCTGCGGAGTTGTCCTGTGGTTCTCTCCGGGGGGCCGTCCAGGCTGCGACTTTATTCTGCACCTTGTCTCTGGCATGGCCCTGCTCCTCTTTAGCGCCCCCCCCTCCCGAGGAGGAGGAGGAGGAGGAGGAGGAGGTGGAGGAGGAGGCGGAGGGCGTCTCACTCCTCTTCTTCTTCCTCCTCCTCCTCCTCCTCGTCCTTGTTGTTCTTGTCTGTCCACGTCCTCCGCCCTCGTCCTCCTCCTCTTTCTCCTCCTCCACTTTCTGTGTTCTTCTCACCTCCTGAGCCGCCCACTCTTCACTCACTTGGTGAGTGTTCGAGTTTGGTTTTGTGCGCGTCCTGTTTTTGTTTCCCTTTCAGATCGCCGTGACAAGACGCGACGGCCCACGTTAGTCCACGCTGGTGCAACGCAATACGAGGAGGAGGAGGAGGAGGAGGAGGAGGAGGAGGAGGAGGAGGATAGTGGAGGGGGCTGACCCTGCCTGTGACGAGCTCAGGGATAGCCCAGTCAACACAGGTACCTTCCAGGTACCGCCCTACGTCGTCGGGGCGATCATCGGGCCGCGGGGCCATCAGACACCCGATCAGGGTTAGACGACTGCCCAGGACAGAGCCTGGAGGGGGTCTGGTCACCGGTTTTAGTGTAGGGAGGTGGGGGTCGGAGAAGGCGGTTGCGGACAGAGGCATGACGGCAGTCTGTGTGCCTTTAATCGGATGGCTCACGACTTTTGAGCCAAGGCAGCGAAGTCTTCTCTTGTTCCGACCGCAGCCCCTCGAAACCGTGAGTCCTCAGCTTGCCGTGGGGCGCCTGGCCCGCCGGGCAGGGACACAGCAGGGGGGGGGGGGCGGACTGGCGAAAAGGCAACAACATGCGAACGATGCAGTGTGACAAACCCTGGGAGGATCTCTGCGCCAGCGAGGGCGGCCATGCGATCGGCATGGAGCGCGGGAGCGAGCGAGGCAGGCACTCGCGCGCGTAGGCGGCCACCAGTTCGGGCGCCCGGGCGCCCGCCGCCCCGCCGGCGCCCCGCCGCCGCGGCTGCGGAGGCCAGTGGTGCCCGGCGCAGGCGCCCCGCCCTGCGCCGCGCGGCGGCGCCGGCGGCGCCGGCGCCGGCGCTGGCGCCAGGCGGGAGCGGCAAAGAGGGGGGTGATGACTAGGGGGGGGTGGATATCATATTGGGGGCCATGATATTTCCTCTCATTTCATGGCGCCTCTTCTTATTCCATCACGTCGCTGCCCCCCCCCCGCTGGGCCGCGCACATGCCGCCGGTCATGATTTGCACCCCCCATCTTGGACACCCCCCTCTTGGCCGCTCCCGAGCCAGCGTGCAGATCACGGACGACGACGACGACCGCCACGGAGGCGGGTCCTGGTCCTTCTCAGCCACGCGCAGAAGGAGGTGAGGGGGAGGGTGGAAGGCTTCCGAGAAGCACCCCTGCTTCTTGGAAGGCGCGGGCCTTGCCTGTAGAGGTGAGACCCGAGCCTCGTCTAGCAAGCCTTCCCCCCTCCTCCTGCCCCCCTCTGCGCGCCGCCAGCCTTAGGACGATGGCGCGGACGATCGCCAAGGAGAGGTTCTTTCGAAGAACAAGGAGCGTCATGAACATGTTTTCTCGGAGGTGCGCGCGGAGTTCTTGGGTCGGCGCTGAACCCCCCTGGCGGCGCCTCTAGCGCCGCCCCTGATGCGCGGATCGCGCCAGCGACGGGGGTCAGCGCCGATCTCAGAAATCCGCGCGGAATTTCGAACGCCACGGAAACGGGTCCTGAGGGATCTTGTCTGCGGACGACTTGTATGCACCGCACCGCGTTGGCGTCTCCTGAGGCGTCGTCGTTTCTTGACCCATGAGCGGCGTGGTGCATTTTTGTTTTAGTTGCCCGTCGCAGCCGACCAATTGTGCACCGTTGCCGCGTTAGAGCATGGCCTGACGGGGACAACACGGTGCGGTGCATGGGCGCCGTCCTCGAATCTTGGCCGTTTTCAGCATCCCAGGGCCCGCGCGTTGCCGGCGCATGCCCTGCTCTCGTGGGCGACGGCGGCGGCGGCGCGTTGGTGCCGATCGCGAGCGACGATGGCGGTCGCCCATGGAGGAGATGTCCGAGGCAGAAATGTTTGGTCGCAGCCTGGGGGACCGATCTCTGGGGACGTCGGCAGGCGTAAAGCACGGCCTCGTAAAGGAGGTCCTGGTGGGAGTCCTCAGGTACAACCAAAGGAGGGGCATGCATGGGCATCCAGTCGGCCACTCATGGCCGATAGGGGCCCTATAGCCGACCCGCCCAGGAGCTATCGGGGGCCTATCGCCGATCTATCGGCATCGTATCGCCGATTCCAGGACACTGGTTTGCCGCCTGAGTCGATCCCCCCTACCGTTTCCCTTCAGGTCCTGAGGGAAACGGGTCCTAGATGTTCTGTGTTGTTTTCGGCCTCCCAGCGTTTCGACGCCATCACAAGGCCCCAGTGTCCACCACCCGTGTTCCTCAAGACTCGTTTTCTTCCTGGCAGTTCCGTAGGAGGCGGCGGCGACGGCGCCAGCGTCGATCGCAGACGACGATGACGACGTCGACGACGACGAGCACAAGGAGGAGAACGACGACGGCGGCGACGACGACGACAGTCCAGGCCTCCCAGTTAGGGCCGAACTAAATTGGATCGGAGGACCGCGCCGCATTGCCGATGCATCGTCGGTACGGCGCGATCTGGTTAATGTTCTTCTCTATCCCGCCGTCGCCAACACGTCGGTCCCAGGCGGGGAGCGATCTTTGGGGATCGATTGAGTATGGTGCAACTGGTGGTTTGGTGTGTCAGAATCTATCTCCTTATGTCCTAGGTGCACACACATAGACCACGTGTGATCGTACACTACTACACATATAGTGTATATACCTACACGCATACCATGTGTGTGTTTTGTCATGCCGCCTGTCTGCATGTCATACTTCACACACTTACACAAACCCTTACTGTCTGCATGCCATACCTATATATATATATATATATATATATATATATATATATTGTAGTGGCCTTCGGCCAGTGCCGCCGATCCGGGTCGCTCGGGGTTATTCTCCAGACGCAGAAATTATGGGCGCACACTCAAACGCACACACACAGTCACACCACTTAACCTGCGCCGCAGACATGCGCACACAGCATCACCCACACACACATACTAGTTGGGAAACGCTCCTGTAGTACTAGTAGTAGTATTAGTAGTAGTAGTAGTAGTAGTAGTAGTAGCAGTAGTAGTAGTAGTAGTAGTAGTAGTAGGTAGTAGTAGTAGTAGTAGTGGTTGTGGTAGTAGTGGTAGTAGTAGTAGAGGCCTCGTTCCGCGGCTTCTCTCGACTTCCCGCGGTCTCTCTCAAGTTTCGAGCACGCGGTGAGTTTCACGATATATGTGTGTGTATGTACGCGTGCATGCATGTATGCATGCATTGATCATGTGTGCCTGTGTGTAGGTACGTATGTATGTATGTATGCTTGTGCGCGTATGTATGTATTTAGTTTGTATGTATGTTTGTATGTGTGTATGATAATATGTGTGTATGTGTGTGAATGTAAGTATGTATGTCTGGAAGATTGTTTTTCTATGTATGCAAATGTGTTTAAATGTAGGTATGTATGCATGTGTGTATGGATGTGCGTTTGAAGAGCGAGGATGTTTCAAAGAAGAGGCACTCGGTGACGCGATCGTTGAGGGATAGGAGTGAGGTCGCAGAGGAGGAGGAGGAGAATGAGGAAGAGGCGATAACTTGAAGGAAAACGATGAGACGGAGGACATCCTGCCGGTGGCGCCCTGGGCGGTGCCGCGGAAGAAACCGGGGGCCTGCCGGAGGCAGTCTGGAGGCCTCTGGGGAGCTGTTTTGGGGCCTCTTGGAACCTCTTTTGGGCCTCTTGTGGGCTTCTTGGGGCCCCTTGGGGGTCTCTTGGGGCCTCCTGGGGGCCTCTTGGGGCGGAAAGCTCGGTTCTTTCGGTTCGTGGTCCCCCTCTTGGGCCCCTCTTGGGGCTCTCTTGGGGCCTTCTTGGGCTGTCCAGAGGCCCTCTTGGGCCGTCTTGGGGCCCTCTTGGGCCGTCTTGGGGCTCTCTTGGGCCGTGTTGGAAGCATCGTGGGCCGTCTTGGGACGGACTTGGGGGCCTCTTGGGCCGTCTTCGAGCGTCGGACGCCCGAAAAGGCAAGAACGCTAAAAACCCTGAGAAAACCAATGAAAATCAACGATTCTGGCCTCTTGGGGCCCTCTTGGGAGGCCTCTTGGAAGCTTCTTGGGGCGTCTTGGAGACACCTTGGGCCGTCTGGAGGCCATCTCGGGCGTCTTGGAGCGATTTTTCGGCGACTCGGGGCCCTCTTGGAACCCCTTGGGGGTCTCTTGGGCCCCCCCCCTCCTCCAAAGCGCCGGAAAAAGCGGAGCATGGCGCCCCCCCCCCCCCTATCTTCCACTCCCCCGGAGCGGCCCCGGGGTTCGCCGGAAACTCGCACCCCCCCCCCCCCCCCCACCCCCCCTTCCCCGGCAGAGCCACCCCGGCGACCCCCCCAGAGGCTGAAGCTCAGCCTCGAGGCTGTAGCTGAGACTCCTTGAAACTCACACGCCGGATCGGCGGATATATTCACAGCCATGCCTTCTGTGTGTGCTTACATATTCGGCACACAACATTTACACATACAGCATGCCCTGGGGCCCTGACGGGTTCCCGAAGCAAGAGCCTTCGGTTTGCACAACAGGCGAAAGGACGATATTGCGAGGATGCCTCAAGTGGGAGCCCCACATGGATCTTAGGGCTGACGATAGCAGGGCGTAGGCTTAGACGCATCTCTAAACATAGTTCGGCTGGTAAAACCGATTGCCCTCAGGACCATCCATTGGTTCGCTGTTGCCCCATCACTGGTTGTCCTCTCGGCTGGTGGCTGCATGTCTAGGGCCAAGGGCAAGCCATTGCGAGGATTGTTCAGGGAGGAGGAGGAGGGGGAGGCCAGGGGGAGGAGGAAGAGGAGGAGGAGGAGGAGGAGGAGGAGGAAAAAGGAGGAGGAGGAAGAGGATGAGGAGCAGGAGGAGGAGCAGAAGCAGGAGGAGGAGGAGGAGGAGGAGGAGGAGGGCAAGCAGCAGCAGGAGCAGGAGCAGCAGCAGGGGGCCGAGCGCTTTGCAATATTGTTTGTCTTGCCGAGCTGCAAGGTGCAAACTGGGGGCCTCGTCCTCGTCTCCCCCTCCTCTCCTCCTCCTCCTCCTCCTCCTCCTCTGCTCCTCCTCCTCATCCTCCCCCTCCTGCTGCTGCTGCTGCTGCTGCTGCTGCTCCTCTTCCTTCTTCTCCTCCTTCCCTTTCCCTCTCCTCCCCTTCCCCCCCTCTTGCTCATCCTCCTCCTGCTCCTGCTCCTGCTGCTGCTCCTCCTCCTCCTATCCTCCTCCCTCCTCCTCCTCCTCCTTCTCCCCTTCCTCCCCTCCGTCCTCTTCCTCCCCCTTCCCCAGTCTGTAGCCCTTCGGCCCCTATCGCTGTTCGCAATGCCATCGGACTCGGCAGTGCTATCCGATTTAGGGGAGTTCTGTGGTCGGCACAAGCCTCGCAGTGGACATCATCCGAATACTGTGACAGTTCGGTGGCTCATTGAATTCATATTGTATGTTCTGCGAGACGAGGATGGTTGTGCGAGGGCGCATGTGCGCGCCAGTGTATTGAGCATGCTGACACCCAATTTTCGATCGAAGGCACGAGTCCCACTTGACCTGCTCGCTGCTATTATCAACAACGAATGTGGTTCATCACTATCCCGAGTTGCAGTCATTGCTGTTGTGACGTCTGCGATGCCATCGCAGCGACATGTGCACCAGCATCGAGCTAGTGCTTCAGAGGCGGAGCCGACATTGCTATTACCTTTGCCACCTGCCCTTCCAGATGATGCATCGACGTCGACATCGGTTGTACCATGTGAAACAGCTGTTGTTGTCAGGTACGCTGCCTCAGCACATGATCTTCGGGTGTGTTTGGCAGAAGCAGACGCAAAGCTGGCGAAGCAGGCAGGCGTGCTGGCAGAGCTGAGGTCTGATGTCCAGTCTTGGAAAAAGTCATCTGGTTATTGGAAGTCGCAGTGCGAGAAGGTTCACCATACCAAGCAGATCGGGCTTATGGTGGGGAGGTGGGTTGGGTGGCCCATCCCATGTAGGGTGTGTTGGGGTATGGGAATGGGGCTGGCAGGGGCCAGGGGTGGTCTGGATGGGTATCGGCCTACCCCCCACCCCTCCATGGCAACGATCTGTTTGGTGTGGTTCCCAGGCTCGGGGCGAGTCGGCCCAGCAGGCCGTAGAGTACAATATGCTTCAAGATTCAGTCAACTATAGGGGGTCGAACAAACGAAAAGTGACAGTGGTTGGTGGGTATTCGCTTGCGAAAAAAACGAAATATTGGACAAGTTGGAAGCGAGACCCTTGTTCTCGCTGTTGCCGGTGATGCCACACGTGGGGCTTTGAAAAACAGGCACATCGTGACCAAATACGAGCATCGATTATGCATGGCCCAGAGACTTATGAGCAAAGAATTCTACGACATGGCTTGTGGGGATATCGCACCAGAGGCTGCAGCAAAGGATGTGGGCAAACCCGGGGTGATCGAGGCCCACTGCCTCAAAGGAGTGATGCGACGAACCAGGAAGCTTGCGACAAGGAAAAGTTACATGTTGCCCAGGTATCTTCGTGCATAGCATCTTTTACTGGTGGTGGCATTGAATTTGTTGTGGGGAAGTCAGTGTGCGACCTGCAGATTTCTCGGCATGGCACTGGTGCGGAGCTGTACGAACTTGCACAGCGAGAACTGAGAAGCATCCATGCGCCATCATGGGTTGATCGCCTTCGTCAATATAGGGCTGGTGGTGGTGTTGCTGACGATGATCGGAATGTTTCAATTTTTGCATTCGGCTTCGATGCAGGGCCAGAGAACACTCGCATGACGAAGATGTTATGCTCAGCCATTCAGGGATGTAACAGTGTGATGATGCTTGTCGTGTGGTGCTTCCTTCACCAATGCCATATCATTGTTCGCAGCATGCTGGATCTGATCGACAGCTTCGAGTGGGACGAGTTCTGGGATTGCGAAGCTGACCTCGATGTTTGGAACCGTTTACCATTTTACACTACAGCAGTCTCGAACATTTCATCTGCATGGAGGGCGCCTGGCAGTGTGCGAAAACTTTCGGCTGCTGGTAGCGATGTGTTCAACTCGGTTGTGTGGGCCAGGATTGGAGCAAGCTCCCTGGGCGAGTTGTTCGGGGCAGGTGGGGGGGCATCGACTCTGCAGAGAAGATCTTATCCGACGGTGGCGCATTGCTGGGCGAAGTATTCAAGCGAGCGTTCATGACCGATAAAAATGTGAAGCGTGCTGGCGAGGATGTCGACGCCGATGCTGACATGAACGCGTTTTGGAGAGTCATGGGTGCCAAGTATAAGGTGGTTTCGACATCGTGTTTGCATTCGGAAATTTTCAGGATAAATTGCCATATCTCTTACGTGGCGAAGCGACTTCGCGTACATTTTCTCTCGTGGGCACAAAAGCGAAACAAGGATCACGATGCAGCAGATGTGCATGGTAGCGCTCCCTTGCCAGAGCTGGCATGTACACAGGCTGGCAACATCGCCAGTGAATTCGGCACGCTTTTGTTCGATGGTTGTGTGGATTGGGCACCGGTATTTCGTTTGGTCGCTGGTCGTGGCGTTCGGCACCAAGGGGCCCTCCATCTTATTGTGGCGAGCGTTTTGCTTGGGGCTGCTGGCTGGGACCTGAGAGTGGCCAGCCCTTGCCGAAGGTTTCCACTTTTTTTGCTTTTAATGGTTGAGCAGCCTGCAGACACGGCGTGCACATCGAGGCAGGCTGTTGCGAAAAAAGGTTTTGGCTACTAGTGACTGCTGCCTTCGGGAGCTTGACACTGACATTTTTCTGAAAGCGAAGCGTGTATTTCGTGCAGATTTTGAACATGCTGCCAATACTGGGAAATTGACACAGGCACTCAAGAGTTTTCTATTGGCAATGCGATCTGTTCTGCCAATGGGTACACATGACATGGCGACTATCTGAATGGATGCAGGGGGGGACCACCGCAGGTTTACACCAGCCCCGAGCCCCGACCCCCGGGCCCGCTGGCGCCCAATGGCAGCGTTTCTGGTTTGGTTTCCAGTAATCGTGTTGTGGCATACCCCCCCCCCGTGCGGTGGCCAGAAACGTCCACTCAGATGGCAGCCGAGGGCCTCGAGGGCATCAACAGCCTGATGCGGATCACGTGTGCGAGGGCCCCCAGCATGAGAATTCCACTGCTCAGTGCAAGGGTGTGTATTAAGAAAAATTGCTCCGATATATCAGCTCGCTCTTGCGTTGAATTGGATGGCAGGGTGACTGCATTAGTGAACAGCCCTGATGTGCTCAATTCTTTCAGCATCGCTCCTATTCCAGATGACCAGCCCCAACCCAGCATCAACCAGTGCTGCCGCCGAACGCCGATTGCTCGAGTGAAAGCTTTACCCGCTTCGAGATTTATTATCAATGACAATGGTACTGGAGTGGGCTATGTTTTCTCTGTTGCTCTGGGCGGTCATGATGCTGGGGATTCAAAGGTGTGGTTTTTATTGACATTGTCTGTCAGGTCTCGGTGCCGCACCACAATCGGGGAGCTCAGGGCTTTGGGAGGCATCCAACAATTCTTTTTATCATATCCTTTGCAGTTCAAGCCATTGCTGGATATTGTGCAGCATGTTATCTCCCTGGCACCAGTTGGCACACGACCTTTACGATTGCATAAGTACAAGTTGTGCTGGGCAAATTTACGAAGTGCGACACTAGTTGTCCGAGATCGAATATCCGAGTTGTGCAACCACGAGCCAATTCAAAACCTGAGGGGCCTGAGCCAGAGTTTCCACCTTTGCCCCCAGCCGAAGAGGGCGATGATGATCATGATGGCGACTCGCTCGAGAGGCTTTTGGAAGAGTTGATCGCTGGAGATGATTTGCTTCGCGAGGATAAGGACGAAGGCATGCCCGACGCTGACGACGACTACGACGACACCGAGGCTGCCGAGGCTGATGATCCTGCTGGTGCTGCTGGTGGTCATGGTGGTGAGGGCATCGCAGGCGATGGCATCGACGACCGCGATTCCGATGGGGGCTTGCCTGTGCTGCCAGAGCATCTTCGTGCTGTGCAGCAGGGGCAGCGGGGGTCTATGCTGGGCGAACTTCGGCCAAATTCGCCAAGCAGCTCGGGATGCCATTGAGGGGGCCCGAGCACAGGTCGCAGGGCAGAGCCGCGAGGCAGGGCCACATGCTGCCCAGGGCATGTTAATGTGCAAGACTTTTGAGCATGGTAGGTCGTGAGGGGTCGTGGGGTTAGGCTGGATGCGCGCGGCAGGGTTGTTTGGAATATCCCTGCTATGGTGCCAAGTGAAGATTTTAGCGAGTCCGACGTTTTAATTTGGGATGTCGGGGCCGAGATGCGACAGGTCACTGCTAGGTGGAGGGATAGGGTCCCTGATTGGGCTCTTTTGTTTTGGGAAATGTCAGAGTATGCAATTTGCAGCGGGCCCTCTGAGTGCCCTGGTGCAAGGGCAGGGCGGTCGCCTTGCCAGGTCTGCGATTGGCTGCCCAGGCAAGGTTTGCTCTGCTCCCATGATGCAATTGGTTTCGGGTGTAGCGAATGCTCTTTGCGATGGCATGGTGCACGTGCTGCCCCCTGTGCGAGGGCATGGGGGTTAGATCCTGAAAGGCTGGAGTTCGACACCTTTGTATGTCCATTGTGTTTGCTGTGACTTGGCCAGGGCCTTTGTGAAACCACAGCAAGAGCTTGTGCCCTGTCCTCCTGTCGAAGCCTCGCCCCCTGCATATGTGCGCGCATGCGACTAGCCCCAGTTCTAGATATGAGCACGCGGGGGGCGAGGAAAAGTAGGAGGAGGAGGAGGAGGAGGAGGGGGAGGAGGAGGAGGGGGGGGGGAGGAGGAGGAGGGGGAGGACGAGGAGGAGGAGGAGGAGGAGGACGAGGAGGAGGACGACGACGAGGACGACGACGACCACGACACCGAGGACACGGAGGAGGGGGATGAGGGGGAGGAGGAGGAGGGCAGCCCACCCCATATCCCATATCCTTCACCCGGTCTCACCATGCCTGCTGCCTTGGGCATTGCATGCTCGTCGGACTGCCGAGCTGCCGAGAGCGAAACTGGTGCTGCCCTTGCACGAAGAGTGGGCGAACACGAGCTGCAACAAGTTCGGGCAACAACAAAAAACAAACCACAAACAACAAAAAAACAACATGAAACAACACAACAACGAACAAAAAAACTGATTATGTGAACGCGCCTTGCAATTTCTGTTTGCATTTCGGCCAGAATAGCGCGTGGATATGGAAGCTCCACGAGTGGACCCCGAGCCTTTTTGTTGAGCCTGGGTGTCGGGAGGGGCTAGACATAGGACGCTGGTTTGGCCATCGTTGTCAAAGTCTTCTTGGTGCGAGAGGCCATCTTGACAATGGTTGTCAAAGGCATCTTGGGGTCGAGGCCATCCGTGACAACGGTTGTCAAAGTCACATTGGTGGGGGATGGCCTCTTTGACAATCGTTGTCAAGGTAGCCTTGGGGGGCGAGGCCGTCCTTGACAATGGTTGTCAAAGTCATCTTGGTGAGAGAGGCCCTCTTTGACAATGGTTGTCAAGATGACCTTGGGGGGCGAGGCCCCCTTTGACAGCAGTTGTCAAGATCACACCGGGCGCGCGTGGATGTCTTTGGCAACGCTTGTCAAAATCATCTTGGGGGCGAGGCCTCCCTTTGACAATGCTTGCCAAGATCATCATGGGGGCATGGTTGTTTTGACCATGGTTGTCAAGATCACCTTGGGGGCGAGGCCCTCTTTGACAATGGTTGTCAAGATCGCTTTGGGGCGACGCCCTCTTTGACAATGGTTGTCAAGGTCGCCCTGGGGGCGAAGCCCTCCTTGACAACGATTGTCAAAGTGTAGGGCGATGTGCTTTGACAGTGGTAGTCATTCACCATTGGCATCCAGGGTGGCATCTCGACAACCATTGTCAAACACAGGGGGCTTGGCAACGGTTGTCAAACCAGCATGCCCAGCCAGGGGGGCTTGACAACGATTGTCAAGTCAGCCCTGGCCCCCCTTGGACGACAGGGCCCTTTCAGGAGTAGCACGCATGGAAATGGTTGTCAAACGAAGTGGCCAGACCAACTGCTTGCTTGCCAGAGCGAGGGCCAGTTTGACAATGGTTGTCAAGGGGGGCTCCCTGGGGGTGCCACCCCTTGGCTACCACTGCCAGTGGCTCGGCTCAGGCCACTGGCCAGTTTGGCAGCCATTGCCTAGCTGCGCTGCCAGCTATCTTAGTTGTTTCCTGAAGAATTGCGCAAGTGCGAAGCACAGCGAAGGCAGACCTGCAACAGACAAGGTGTGGAATGTTGCAGTATGGGCTCTTTCTCCTCCTCCCCCTCCTCCTCCTCCTCCTCCCCCTCCCCCCCCCTCCTCCTCCTCCTCCTCCTCCTCCCCCTCCTCCGAGAGAGAGAGAGAGGGGGAGAGAGAGAGAGAGAGAGAGAGAGAGAGGGACGATGGCCAGCAGCACAGCAGGCACTATCGAGAAGCATCGCGCAGGCAAGGCAGGCAGCGATTCTTTCGCTGGCGTCGGCAAGCCCCCCCCCAAAAAAAAAAGAAAAACAAAAAAAAAACAGCGCAGATTATCGCCTAGAGGGTGGCCGAGGGGGGGCGCCAGTCAAACCATTATGCCTGGCGTCGGAATATTCCCTTCGGGGGCTCTCTTGGGACGAATGGTCACCAGCCCAGTCTTCTGTCCCCTCCAGGTGCCTAACCTGGTGTCGGCAGCAGCAGGTTCGGCAAACGTTGGCTGGCATCGAGGGTTTGCCTTTGGGCGAAGGGTTCCCAGGGTGTGGTTTCGATGCTGGGGGGCTGGTGTGCCATTTGCTGTAGTTTGTGGGGGTAGTGGTTTCGTGGCAAGCACGACCGCGATACAAGATGCAACCTAACATTGGCAATGGTCATCGTTATCGTCATCGCTATCTCTATCATTACCGTTGCCATCGCCATTTGTCCTCACCACCATCATCATCCTAATCCTTACCACCGTCGCCATCATCCACATCGCCCTCACCATTATCATCGTCATCGTCGCCACCATCATTTACAATCATCATCATCATCATCGTCGTCATCACCGTCCTTCTAGCATAGCCACTTTGGCAGCTCAGAGGGTCGGTCGCTGTTCGGCAGGCCCTGTCCATTTCGGTCTTCTGCAGCACTCTACCACAGCAGAGAGCTCAGTTCGGCTTTCGGTTTGGCTATTGTTTCTACATCAGTGATGCCCAGCATGAGCGACTCTTCCTTGCCAGGCAGTGTCATGGAGAACGCCTTCAACACCGACATCACCGATATCTTCGAGCAGGTGTCATTGCCGAAGACAGCGAGCAAGCTCGAGCTCCAGCGGCGCGCGTGGGCCATCTACGCACACGCAGTTGATATCAATGTTCCCCTTGTGGGCGCCGATGGGAAGAGGTGGCTCGTCAGCAGAGACAAAAAGCACAGCGACCGAGGGGGAAAATCATCCATCGAGCAGAAGAAGGAGTCCATGAAAACGCGTGGCATGATCTGGGGCACCGGTGGAGGCCCCTTTCTCGCGCAGCTGGAGGGCCAGCCGATCGTCGGAACCAATGTGGAATACGAGTGCCTGCGTTGGGCGACTCGCGTCGAGGGCTTGCAAACAGCTTGGTCCGAGGACGACGCCAAGCAGATCAGGGCAGTTCAAATGAGTGTCAGCAGTGGGCTTCATCATGCTACCATCTTCACCCACAGGACGCCACCCCTCGTCAGGGTCTGGCTCAAAGACCTGGGCAACAGCGAGAACAACAGCGGCACTTCAGTTACAGCCCTCGAGAAGATGAGGGGCGCGGCCATGGTGGAGCATGGCTTCGACCAGAAGAAGAAGGATAATGGTTGGACAGTGGGGAGTGTCGGCCAGAGCGCACTGGAGCAGAACAAGTCCAGCAGGCGACTTTTCCAGATAGGTGGGGCAGCAACAGGTAGTATGAGTTCTGCCAGTCGGTCTACCAGAACATGAGTAGGCACAAGCTCGACATCAATGGCAGTCGGCAGACTTTCTGGCAGTACTTCGAGCAGTTCGCGATGGAGAACATCGATTTCACGAACAAGTTGCGCGACACCCGCGCCTTGCTCTGGGCCTCCATGCACTATGTCTACAAGGCCTTTCGTCATTGGCCACAACTGTGCCTTCGCCTTTTGTCGCTGCTCTTCCCCTTGAGGGGGGGGGGGGGGGGGGGCGCGCACTGTGAAGACACCTCTTCGGCAAGATGGCTTTACAACTCCTGTGTTCGTGATTGTCACACAGGAGCAGGTGGCATCATTCGGTCAAGACATGGGCAAGAGCCAGCTCGCTAAGACATCGCAGCAGCAGCAGCAGCAGCCAGCTATTCTCAGGACCCCCAAGAGGAGGCGAGAGGAGGAGGACGCTGGGACAGCGAACCTGGCAGGCACGACCTTCATCGCTTTTCTCCAGAAATTCAAGGCTTTTTTGGAGAAGATCGACCCCAACAACGAGACGATCATGAACTACGTGGTGCTTTGCTGCATTGCTGTGGTCCAGGGGGGCGCGAAGATCGATGGGAAGGACAAGCAGGGCAAGATGGCGAACGCCAACGAGGTCATCAAGGGCTTCTCGCAGCTTCGCAAGTTGATCAAGCAAGATATTTATCGCCGTGCTCGCTTTCGTCCTCGTGTCAGCGATGTTGATTTCCCAACTGGCGAGCTGGGCGCCCCCGATGCAGCCATGGCGGGGCCGAAGCCAACTGAGCAGATGGGGGAGCAGGAGATCGATGAGTTCTTCTCGCAGCACATCGGGGTGTTGACCACCATCGCTGGATGCATGGCTGTCAACAAGCCGAACATGGGCATCAGCATGCACATGGGGGCTGCCCAAGCCATGAACCAGATGATGATGGCGATCGTGAAGTTCACCAGCGAGGGCTGCAAGAAGAGTGATGGCCAGAAGCTTGTGGTCGACACTGTTGTGAAGGGCTCGTTGGAGGTCTACCCTTCCAGCGCCGACGATGCATTCGAGATGGCAGTGAAATTGCAGAGCAACATTGATTTCCAGAGGCTGCTATCTGCCAACGAGTCGGAGTGGGCCAAGAACATGAACACCCTGATCACCTACTCCAAGAACGTTTGCAGCTTCTTAGATGTACTGATTGCTTCCCGGCTTCTCCTTATCTGCCACTCGTTGCTGGCTTTCTCCAAGATGAAGTTTATGTCGAAGGGCGATGTCGATGCCAACTCGTCGCTGGAGCCGGTGCCCTATGTTCCAGCACTTGTGGCAGGCCATGCTCAGCAGATGGGGGAAACCCTTGTCATTCAGCAAGATGGGTCTGTCAACCAAAATTCAGTGCTGACCCTTTTTCTGGATTGCTTGCAGGAGAAGCAGCTCAAGTTCAACGAAGTTGCAGGTGCTCTCTTCCAGTCGTCGCACGAGGCTGCCATCCACGCAGATACCTACGACCCAGTGCAGTTCGAGAAGTCCAGGGGAGAGTATCGCAGGATGTTGGAGGGGTGCCCAGACCCCCGCCTGCTTTCCATATGTGCGAAGGAAGATGTGAAGCTCAGGATGCCCACGTCTCGGCATACGGCCGAGAAGGACCGCTCGATCCAGGAGATGGTTGCCAAGTTCGAGGGTCGGCACCCCAACGAGATGAAGTCCACCGCCCTCGCTGGCGCGAGTGGCTTGCAGGCTATCGTGTCGGTCGCTCGTGAGAGGCTGCTTCCCCCAGCCGATGCAGTCGTGAACCATTCGGGGAGCGTGGCCCCAGTGGAAGAAGCCGACCAGGACCAGGGAGACCAGAGCATGAGTCTCGGGGCATGGTACCAGGGCGTGGTCGACGACGAGACCGACGAGACCTCTCCTGGTAATGCTGAGCATGTCGTGGGGGAGTTGGTGAAGAGGATGGCGGTTGCAGAGGTTCAGAAACTCATCTTCAGCAAGGCGATCGAGTGGAAGGAGAATGTCGAGGCCAACACAGGCAAAGCCCACATCGAGATCAAGACATCTTCGGCCCTCGCGCACGACCCTGACAACCAGAAGCCCAGCGACTCCTTCAACAGCAAGGCTTGCATCGTCCAGGGTTCGGAGGGCATGGTGGTGATACCATTCTGGGGGAAGGTTATCGATGCCACAAACTTGCCAGTCGCTGGCAAGCCGAACATGCTGGAGCTGGGTGGACCCAAGTGCATGAAGCTGATGATGGATGGTAGTTCTTTTATGAATGCGAGGCGTGCAGATTGCTGCCCAGCATGGTTCGTTCGAGTTGAGCAGCCTTCTAGCACGAGCGAGGTTCAGGCTGCTGCTGAGGCTGGCGAGGCCATTGCAGCCGAGCCTGCCCCTGTCCCTGTGGATGGGCAGGCTGCTGCCGATGTAGGTGTAGATGCGAACCCTGTGCCCTTGCCAGCTGCTGGGGCTCCTGCTTCGCAGCCCAGTGCACCCTCTGGCAAGGCGGCAGCAGGCAAGAAGAAAAAATCGAAGGCCAAGGCGAAGGCCAAGGCCAAGCCTGAGTTGCCAATTAATTTCGAGGTGCACTGGGAGTCTGCAGCTGTGAAGGCAGGGGGCCTGGAATTCCAGGTTTCGCTGCCAGTGTTGAAGTCGGCGCATGGGCAGGGCATTAAGGACATTGCAGTTCGCAAGCCCACCGATTTTGAGAAGCTGCAGAAGCCTGCGAAGGCTCCAGTGTCCAAGGCGAAGGGCAATTTCGCCCTGCTGTAGGTTAGTAGCCATAGGGTTGGCAGACATCAGAAAGTGTGGTGGATGGTGGATGGTGGAAATATGTGTTAGAGACAAGGTTGGAGGGGTAGGAGCAGGAGAGGAGGGAGAAGGAGACAGCAGAGAAGGAGGGGGGTGGGCCCAGTGCCCATGCAGACGATATCGGCCGTAAGATGCTTGGTGTCGGTTGAATTTCCAGGCCAGTGCTGCATTAACATGTTTTCGGTCATTTGAGCTTTTGCCCAGTCCTGCTACTTGCATGACTGTAAGAGCCAGAAAAAAGCCAGGCCCCAGTCAGGCCCCAGTCAGCCGCTGTTCTGCACATCGCCTTTGCGAGAGGCCAATGGCGATCGAGCGGTTCGCGACCGATCGATTATGCCAGACATGGCAGTCTCCTGAAAAAAAACAACCGATATCAGCACCAAGGCTTACGCCACATCCGCCAACCCCCACGAGGCATCATCATATACTATTTGGTGACTTTCTTGTCGGGCCCTTCTTTGGGGCTTCTCTTGCACTTCTTGAAAATCAGAGTGTTGGTTGTCGCATTCCCCAGCATAGCAACATCACCCATATGCCCAACCGAATTAGGTTTGGGGCATGAGGTAGGTTCGCCATTAAAGGTTTTGCATCAAGTAAACATGCATTTGGTGAGAGTGGGCTGTACAACATTGCCTTTTGCTGTTTAGATTGTTCGCCGAAATCCGACATTGGCAGGCACACATATGTTTCGAGTAAAATTTTTAGGTGGCACTGGCCACCTTCGCCCATCACCAAAACAACTTTCCAGATGCAAAACATGTTGCCTGTCATTCATCACCATCTCATTTTCGCCATCCATCATCATCCCAGTATCCCATTTTGGGCAATGGCTTACCAGCGCTGGGGGAGGCCATAAGCCTCCTGATTTTGACATGGAATCTCCAGCGATACACCCTCCTCAGGATCGATCTTCGGGGACCTCGGCAGGCGGTGGTTATTGGTATATTCGGGCCCTGTGGGCGCAGACTTCCGACACATTGACTGCTTAGAGGCGCTGACTCTGGCAGTTCTCGACGCTTTCTTCTGGATTACCCTTGCATCCTTGGCCTTGCTTGTCTGCTTTTTTTCTGGGGCGCAGTCGCTGGTTCTCTGGCGCCTGCGCGATTGTCCCAAGTCGCCAGATGAGTTCTGGGACCGTAGACTGGGGTCCTAGAACTCCTCCGGGGCCCTAGAGTCTAGGCCTAGACTCTAGGGCCTCGATTTTGGGGACCTCTGGGGGCTTCAGCAGGGGCCTCAGCAGAGGCCCCGGAGGTCCCCAGAGGCTTCAGCAGAGGTCTCCGAAGACCTTTCGGATGTGTTCCGACGACATTGGCACAGCCCAAGGTGGCGGATCGATCTTCAGGGAGTTTGGGAGGGCAGTGGATCTGCCTGGTTCGCCTTAAATATGTCCAGGGCGTGTTTTCAGCGTTTTCAGCTCGGCGTCTTGGAAATCATTGTTGTTGGCGTTTCCAGGTCTCAGCAGCAAAAACTAAACACTCTAAGCAAGTCATGTGTGGTTTTAGCGTTTCCAGATGGGTGTTTTATCGTTCTTAGCCTAAAAACGCAAAACAGACTCAAACAAACGCCAACCACACCAGCCCTGAACACGCTTTAAACATGTAGCGTTGTTTTAGCGTTTCCAGCCTGTCAAGAGCCCAAGTTAGGAAACGCAAACAAAACGCCCAGGGCGTTTTCAAGGCGAACCAAGTGGATCTGGACATGATTGGGCCCCAGGGGGGCTCAGCTGCAGTCAAAACGTGTACTACGGACGGCTGGTAAGGACGCAAGACCCTTGGATGTCGAAGCTGTGATTGTTTTGGGCGGCTGGCGACCAGTGGAAACGGCAAAGGGCGGGCCGCAGAGGCAATGACACAAGGGTACCCTAGATTTAGGCGCGCATCCTTACTAGACGCGTTGACTGTATGTCCATGTCCACCGCCCGTTGTCCAAGGAACGCTAACATGGATGAAGGCGCATGGATTGGCGACGGGCCCCGCTTCCACACGACATCGGCGCGCGTTGTCGCCAAATGAGGCGGCACTGGCCTCACTTGTCGGGGGCACCGTCCCCGATCCACGGACCTGGTGCCCACGCACCAGATCCACAGATCACTAATCCATATTAGACTGCACCCCGCGCTGGGGTCCCAGGACGCCGCTTCCCCTGCAGGCGGTGGCAATCTGCACAGATCCACAGCATATCCACGCCCCGCCTCGGGCCCCGAGCCTTGGCTCCGTGGTCCTGGCGCCGCCCGGGGGGGGGACCTTCCGCCGCCTCACCCCGAAGGCGGCGACGACTACCACAGAAGAGCCCCACCTCGCACGCAAGAGTATGCGACAGCCATGTGAGCGACGGCAGGCATCGGGGTCGATTGTGCCAGCATTTGCGCCTGAGCTGCCCGCGCACGGTCGCGCGTGAGCTTCGCAGTGTTTCACACGCGTACGCTTTGACGCCTCGGCGCGCGCAGCTGCCGCCCGCCTCGCACCGAGCCTCGAGCCTCGGTGGCCCCGCTTTCCGGGCGCCGCCCGCGGCTCTCGGGTCTGCTTTGCTGCAAGCAAGCAGCCACCAGACCCCACCTCTCTGCGCCACTGTGGGCGCGAGTGAATGTCAGATGGGGTCAGGACGAGGAGAAGTCCGTTCCAGGGCGTTCCGGAACGTCCGAGACGCTCTCAGAGCGTTCCGGCACGTTGTGCGAGGGCCGGGGCGCCCGGAGCATCCTCCAGAGCCGTTGCATCTCAGAGAGTCTCGATTCATGGCGTCGTCTTACGCCGGGGGGTGATGAAAATGGGGCCCTTCGGCGCCTCAGGGGGGGGGCCTCTTGGCTTCGAAAAGGGCACCTTTCTCTGCGCGCCCAGCCTGGGACCCGAAACCGGGCGGAAGCCCGGGTCTGAGCACGTCCCCGCCTCGCAAGATCACGGCCTCGCACCGATCGCAAGATGCAAGATGCCCGCCTCGCAGTGTTAACAGCATGTTGAGCAATCTTGTGAGGAACCAAGTTGGCTCCGAGGAGAAGGATGTGAGGGGGGGGTATGCTTCAGAGTCAGGAGGATTCTCATTTGGGGAGGGCCAGGAGTTCGGCTGCTGCTTGGTCTCCTGCCCATCGGCTGCTTTGCCTCCTCTTCTGCAGCGCTCGACCTGAACGCTGTTTTGGCTATCTCGTGAGCCGTTTTCGCTTCGACTGCGTTTTGCGGCCCAGGCGGCTCGATGACAAAACGATGAACGAACAAAAACGAACGCGAAACGAAAACGAGAAACCCTGTTTAGGTCGGTCCCTGCCCTCCTGCTCAAACCTTCGCACCGACGACCGCGCCTCGAGCCTCGGGGCCGCCGTCCTGGCGCCGCCCCGCGGCCGCCCGCCGCCTCCCCCCCGCAGGCGGCGACGACCGCCGGCCCCGCCAGCCGGCGCGCGGCGCCGGGGGAGCGCGGCCGCAGCCGCGGCGGGGGAGCAGCTCCAGCGAGGGGCCGACGCCACGGGCTCGGCCGGCGCGGGGGCGCTCTTCCTCGTGGCCGGCGGGGGGTCCGAGGCGGCGCAGCGCTGATGGTTCCTCGTGGACGAGAGTTGGCGGCGCGCAGCAGAGGGGGGTAGGGGGGAGGGGGGAAGGCTTCTTAGAGGCACCCCTGCTTCTTAGGAGGCGCGGGCCTTCTCTATAGACGTAAGGCCGAGGCCTTCTAAGAAGCAGGGTGCTTCTAAGAAGCCTTCCCCCCTCCCCAGGCCCTACCCCCCTCTGCGCGCCGCCAAAAGAAGCAGATTCCGCGGCCTCGCGGGCCAGGTCCCTGGCGTGGACCCCGCGGATGCAAGGCGGGCTTTCGCGGATGCCCCGCGTGGAACGTGTCCATGCGACCGCGCAGCCACGTGCGAGGGCGGCGTTGGCCTGTGTCGATCTCCGGGTGCCGGTTTCGGGCCCCCAGACCGTCAAGAACGGATCCGGCATGAAACATTGCGCCAGATTCGGGGCTGGACAGAACCCCCCAACAGTGACACATCGATTAGTGAATTGTCCGTTTTCGGTTCTCGAGAGGGCGCCGTGGCCGTCATTTTCCAGGCTTGCGCCCGCCAGATTTGGGCCTCAGGTCGTGTTCACTAAACCACGTTTTGCTAAAGGGGGATCTGTCCATCCCCGACAGATGGGCCCCAGGCCTGGAGTGGCCCAGCGATCGAATTTGAACGGATGTGCCTTCATCCCTCTCCCTTACTGGTTTTCTTCGGGTCCCAGCCAGCTTGGACCCACCAACCGCCTCCTAGTTCCTCCCTCCCCCATACGAGCAGAGGCTCGAACATGTCGAGGCGGAGCGCCTGCCTTTCGACGATATTACGCTTTTGTGCATGACAGTTCGTGTGAACAAAACGTCTGGTGGCATCGATTTGGGCGTCAGGGGGACATTCCCCGTCCCCGAGACGACCAGAGACGGACCCAGGGCGAATCACATATGAGCCCACCGAAACTTTCTGCGTTTGTTCCCGACGGTGCGGCAAGCGCAAGGTCCAGTGGTATCGGCCAGCGCGGCGGCTGGGCCAGTTCGCAAGTTGCCGTTACCCTGAACTATCACAGCCCCAGGTTGTCATAGGAGGAAAGCACCTGACGAAAGAAACCAACACAAGTCCTTGGGCGAGTCCCCCACACGTGTGGTGTGAGCGAAACACCAAAGTGCGTTCGGAGAGAATCTGCAACCAGTTGAAAGAGGACGAAGAGTAGGATGAGGAAGAGGACGAGGAGTAGGAGGAGGCTATACTCTGTTCGCTTGGTTTCTGCGCAAGTGTAAGAACTGGCATCATGTTATGTAATGTTCTGGACGGGCCAGCGTGACGTCGTGACGCCTGCCACGTTAGATGTGTCGTCCAATCGATCGTTGGTGCGCCCGTTGGTTCTTGTGGCTAACCTGACCCCGGAGGGAACGTCGCCTTTGATTACATCTAATGGGATGGTATGTTAGTCGGCGATGTTCCTCTTCGGTTATGTTTCTATCGTTTGGTCAAAGC